AGAAGCAAAGATGTCTGGGATAGTTTCGAGGCGTGTGAAGGCACACATTCAATTGGAAGATACTGAAAGGAGAAGAGAGGAACATTTAGGCAGAAAAACATCATGAGTTAAAACACGCATACTTAAACTCTTAAAAAATTAACACCCTAGTCCTACATCTGATATGATCTTAAGATGAGAATGTTCTTTTGAATGTTTAACTCAAATTAATAGAAAAATAGCTTGTAATTTTCTCTTAATGAATAAAACTAATTTTTAGGCTGTTATATCCTTGCTTTATTTGATAAAATTTGTTACCATTAAAATTTTCTCCAGACGTCTTGTAAAGCTGGCTTGTATCATAAATGTGAAGTCATTTAGGTAAAATACAGCTTGTTTCCTATACTTTGTAATATCAGGGCTACTTTTAACAACTGTGACCCTGGGCAGCTTTAGCAGATTATGTTTGTAAGCAGAACCTATTAGAACATTTGGACTGAGGTGACTAGTTAACTCCTGCCTGGGTCTGCTGCTTATGGTTTAGGTGATAATCTTACACTCTTACAATGCACAGCTGAGGAGGGACAAGGGAATCACTGGTGACCCTAATGTTATGGAGATACTCCATATGCATATCACTGTAATTCTCAAACTGAATTCCCTAGGCCTCAGATTGAATTGAAATTGAAGGAGAAATTGCTTTTCTGTAAGGCATTTCTATCTTTGAATCTCTGTTAGGTCAATTTGAAGGAAAATAAAATATTCACAATGTTTTGAAAACCCAATAAAAATATTAAAAGTGGTATTGGACAAAGAAATGATAAAATATGACTCTGTCATCAAGTATCTTAACCACTACAGCTATTCAATGGGCAGCTCTTCTTGGCACCTTTTCCTTATTTATTTTTATTTTTTGGAGATATTAACATTTAAAAATCTAAATTCATTACTTTTTCTTAATAATTATGTTGAGTTTGAGGCAGGATGTCTGGGTTCAGACCCAAACCCTGCCACTTACAAGTTTTGTGATTTTTCAGCAAGTAATTGATCCCTCCTGAGCCTCAGTTTCCTCACTGGCCATGTGTATATGGTAACACCTACTTCTGGGAATTGGTAGTGGTGCCATCCAAAGCAACTGGCACCTAGTACTTGTTTGAGAAGTGTTAGCTAGCTATAGCTATTTAGAATTCTGAAATATGTTTGCATCACTTCTTTGGTGACACCTTCCTTGTCCTTTGTCCTCTCCCTTTGAAGCCCATCACCCCAGACAAAGGTCAGAGTACTTGTGATGCCACAATATTTATATGTCCTACTACTGCATTATTCTTGTACCTTTGTGTTTTCTCTAAGGGAATATGAGATCCTACAACTTGAGGGTATCAACTCTGGCTGAATATTAAATCACCTGAGGAGCTTTAAAAAACTACAAATGTCTAGTTCCTTCCAGACACTGGCTCAGAATCTTTGAGGGTGGAGCTGGAGTTGATGTTATTTTATGGCTTGTAAGAGATTGGGATCAATCCTTAGAGGCGTCCAGAGTTCAGAGCCACTGTTTTTTTAGAGACTGTTCATCCTATATCTTTAGCACTTGGCACAGTCTCTGACACATTTTAGATGCTCAGTTAATGTTTGTGGAATTGAAGATATTAGTAAGCCAGCATTAGTATATTTCTGAAGTTTACAGAAACCCACCCCATAGACTAAGGAGTATAGCTTTATTAAGAATGCCTTAGGTTATTGAAATAATCCTGCAAGAGCATTCAAGGTGACATTCTACTTTTTTTCTGACAGAGTAAACATTTCTCTTTCTTGTTGGCTTAGATTCCATTTCTTAATCTCTTGTTTAAAATGTCCTAAGGCAGATTTGTACCATTTCATTTAACACTGGCGAGTCACCACAGTCTCTGCACTTGTACAAATGTGCTGATTTAATTGTTTATTGTTCCACTAATGCTGAACCACCTGCATGTATCACAGAAGCACAGGAAGACAGGTTTAACATTTCAGCTGTTATTTTCAGCTTTTAGAACTTAAAAACACACATTCATGATTTGTATCCTGACGTATAAGAAAGGGAGCAGCAAATAAAGACTGAAAACAGAAAAAAATTGTTATAGATAGTGGAGGGCCATTATCTATTAGGTGACACCATTAGGTGTTCAATAAAATGTGAACTTTATTGGATGCATAAAAAGGTTTCCTATTATCAGTATAATAATTTTAATGATGTTTTACAGGAGCAAACATCATTTATGACTATCTATTGAGTATCCATTCTTTTGATTTGTCCAGACTGATCAAAAGTGTCATTTTTCTTGATACCAAAGAGCAAGATTCTAAGATGACCCTTGAATGTCAAAGGGTCAAACACAGAGATTTATGAACTAAAATAAAACACAAACACACTGGTTGAAGAACTTACGTAATGAGGTAGAAACTGTTAATATTTAAAATTAAATTTTCTACTTTGCTTCTACTATTTATTTGAAGGGAGGTTAGGTGACAGTGAGTTTTTAATTCTCTTTAAGAAAAGAGTTGAAAATGGGAAGCAAGAGGACAGTAAAAGTTTGGGAGAAGAGAGAGAGAAAAGAGACAGATAACATTGCCAAGTATTGAAGCCAGAACTTCAGTGCAAAAGGTCTACTTTTTTTAAAATTCACAAGTAATAGATAAGCTCCAGCTTCTCTGTAACAGCTTCTAGACTGAAGATAATATAACAAATTGATATATTCAACTTTCTTTTACTTATTCCAGTTTTATAGGGGATAATGGAGAAAAGGGTGACATGGATAATTGAAATCTGTAGATGACTGTAGTTCCAAAACCCAGTTTTTACCAATAATTTTAACCCCCTGCTTTTAACCTCAAAGCTGCCCAAAAGTTAAAAATACATATATATATATATAGATAGATAGATAGATAGATAGATAGATAGATAGATAGATAGATATTGTTTCAAGTTCAACTTGCATTTATTTCTTCTGATAATGGTATTACATGCTAATGATAGATACTACAGATTTGCACAAAATTAGGTAGAACAAATCATATGGATGATCTACAAGCTATATAATTACCATCTGAATCATTGTATGACCACTATAGTTTAACTGAAACTATTCTATGATTGCTTTAAAACACATACTTTTGAACTTAGGGGCAGCCTTTATACACTCAAGTTCATAGCATGAAATTTGACATTTCTAAATTAAGAAATGATTGGCCTTAAGCTGTACTAGACGAGGCATTGATTGAGAAGCACTTTATAGAGATTAACAATGTAAGTGAGATCTGTTCTTTTACTTATTCCCGGAGAACTTGACTTTCCAGAATGATAGTGTGTTTAGCATAGAAAAATCCAACATATATAATAGCAAGGGGAGGCCTGTTTTCACAGGTTAAGTGTTGGGATAAAAATATGGAGATAATTGTTGAGGAACTCCAACTTTATAGTTTTGAACTATAATTATGCTTAACAAAAAAGAGTTGCCATTTTTTATGCACATGCCCAATTTGACATGCACGCCTCTCTTAAAAAATCAGTGTTTTAATATGGAGCGGAACAAATATATTGATATTAAATTGATTTCAAATGATGGGGTTTGAAAATATGACTTTTACAAACTCTAAATGGTTAGATGTTGAAACTCTGAGACAGTTATTAACTCATTTCCAAGGACCCAATACCAATTATATGATTTCTTACACATCATTATTTTTCTCTAAGATCTAAAACACTTGACTCTAATTTGCAAACTACTTACAGGTAAATAACTGGCATAAGAAACTGAGGATTAAATGAAATAAATATGTTTTGTAGCAAGCTGTTTGAATTGGTTCTGAATTCTCTTAAATCAGAACATCTTTTATTTTTAAGCCAGGCATTTATAGCTGTGTCTTTGTCATTCCACTGCACGCTGACCAGGGAGATACAAGTCTTGCTCTTTCTTCTTTTTTTTTTTGTTTTTTTCTTTCATAATCAAGATTTTATTAGTTGTTTTGAGGATAAGTACACAGACAGTTCCATTTGTACACAATTCCTAACTTACATACCAAAAACCTAAAAAGTCATGTAGTTTTGATTATTTTCTAAACAGCTATTCCCGTGACTTTCCAGCTTACAATTTGGAAGCTAATTTTCCTTAACAGATTATCAAGTACAAGTATCTTCAAATGTTGTTACTCTGTTACATCAAAGTCCCACTAATTCAAAATTTTAATATCAGATACACTACACACTCAAATTTTCAACCTTTCACAGCACATTAACAAAATGACTAGGAAAACTGGACTCCTGCGACCAAAGATGGTACAGAGTGCACAGAACCCTGACAGGGAGAGCCAAGATCGAGGAGTGGTTTTGCTTAGCAAACAATTCTACCAAAAACAGGGGAATAGAAGCAATTTAAAATGTTCAGAATGTGTTAAATGTACGACTGACTCCAAATTGCCATTTAGTATGCTTTGTATGATAGGAATAAAAACTACAGAATGTTAACCTGGTACCCAAGACAATCAAAGCCTCCCATGTTCAACATCCCACTATTTTCTGGTTGTACCAAAAAATAACCAACAAATGATTTCACCTCTTTAAAAAATAATTTACACTTAAAAAATGGGATGAGGTGGAATTTCCTCCTTAAAAATGTTTCTAGAGTTCCTAAAAAACTTGCATTTACAAGATAGTTGATACAAATTTTTCTCTGGATTATGCAAGGAGGGAGACAAGGACCACTGATAAGACATGGTATGATATTAATCAGATTTGACTTCTTTCTCTCCTGCTTCATCAGAGGCTGGACTCACCTCGTTTTTAGTTTCTCCGTTCTCTGCAGGTAAATCTTCTTTAGTTTCTTGCTTAGCCACTTTGGCCTGTTTTCCCTTTCCTCCCTTATCCCCTGTTGTTTGCACTTTGGGGTCTGCAGATTTGTCCTTTCCTGCTGCCCTTTTTGGCTTCATTTGCACTTTTGCAAGAGCAGGGTTAGTTGACAGCCTCGCCAACCTCCTGTTGGGCCCCTCCCTCCCTGTCCCCTCTACTGAGCTGAACTTCCTCTTGGGCATGGTGACCACGGGGCAGTCAGTCGCATGCGGGGTGTCTGCGGGCAGGGGCACGCCGAGAGCGAGCGTTCACGAAGCTGGGCTGGTTGGCAGCTGTCGCTCCTCCCGCCACCCAAGCTGCTGGCACAAGTTTTGCTATTTCAGTGGTGATTTAGAATGTAGGGAGTAATTTCAGAGTTTATTGAGGTAGGAACACATTTTAGAAACAAACTGAAGTCATCACAGGTTGAATGCTTGTAACTTTATCTGCCTATTTGATAGCTGGGTAAGAATTTGAAAAAAAAAAGCCGTTGGCTGACACTAGTGATGATCAGATAAGTCAGTCTTGAGATATTAATATCCTTCTTCTGTAACTACCAACAGAGGTACTGTGGAAATTAAATCAAAATGGACTTATTTTTCTAATTTCTAATATTGAATAAGGGTCAGCTTCATTGAGTTTCATGAATCATGTGGTGTGCACCAAGTAAAAGCTTTCTTTATCAATATTAAAGTTGTTTACCACAAATTTGACAGAAATAGAGCAAAAGAAAGAATGCCATAATGGGAAGAGAATGGACTTTGCAGTCATGTAAACTTGTGATAAAATTTTAACTCAAATCCTAAGACTAGTGGAGAAGACACTTATAGATCCTGAGCCTCTGTTTTCTACAATTTGTTAAATGGCTCCAATTATAGCCACTTTGTAAAGTTGTGTTAAGATTAATAATAGCAGAGTATCTAACACCTAGTGGACCCTCAATAAATGATCGCTACTATTATTACTTGAATACAAAACTCTGCACAGATGCAAGATATTTCTGTGAACTCCTCTGCCCTCTTCGCTGGAAGGCTCTAAGATAATCATCAGTAATCTGGAGAGCTTTCTACAGAGTATCCAAATATTGTCAGATTTAAGTATCTGTATAATCAGTGCACTCATTAAAAGTTTACAAAAGGATTGCCAAGTACTAAACTTTTCTATGATACCATTTACCCAGAAACTTTCCAGCACCATTTTGCTTGCTGGATGTTTCCTTTACAAATTGTTTCTTTTTAGACTGTAGCCCCTGTTTAGGACCCATATGGTTTGTAAATACCTAGATTCCCTACTCACTCAGTTTGCCAGAAAGCATTAATAAAAATCATACTGTTGTTTACCCTGTTGCATGTATCTATGAGGGCACACACATAAAACGTTTGAAGAAAATCAGAGCTCAGGCTCAAGGATCCTCTCAGACACTTTTCCTCCTGCTGCCAAGGCAGCCTCTGCTTTTCTCCAAGTGGAAGTTGTCCATCTTTGTGGATATCCTAACCCCACTTTCATCATCAAAGTTATTCCTCCCACTTAGCCATATGATTCAAATGCAAGTTGATGGGAAAAATCCATTTGGCAGTATAAGAACATAGGTAACTTTTCGCGTCTGAGTGGGCGGATGTGCCTTTTCCACAACAGTCACTTTTGTTAAAGCTGAATGGTTTGCGTTGTGGTTCCTTTGTCCATTTTTTCTGTGAAGCGTTGTGGAACCCACCCCCCCCCACCTCCACAATCGTTTTTCTCAGTACCCCAGTGGACTTAAGAATAAAAGCACACCCTTTTTAGAGTACATGCTCATGCCGAGAAAGTGCTGGTGCTAGGAGATCTAGCTCATTAAGTGTCTGTACTTGCAAAGGACTGTGCTAAGTCCCATGAAATTAAACTGAACACACACTATCATTGCCTTCTGACATTTATGACCTTCCTTTCCATAGTGACCACCAATTGCAGAATTGTGTTTGGGTAATTCTATCCTTAACCTTACCTCATTGATCTGTTTTACTCATTTCAACAATAACGTGGGGCATACCTACGGAGAGGTGTTTGGCCCTATGCTTCAAACACTCTTAACTGATTCAATCTTAATAAATTCTTTGGCAAGAGAGTATTCTTATTCCTATTTTACATAGTAAAAGAAACAAATTCAGAAAAGTTCTATGACTGCTACAAAGTGTAGAGAGCCATGACATGAGTCTGGATTTGTTGGCTACAAAGCCCATGCTGTGGGATACTCAGTGGTGTTTAAAGCTCAGAGACTCATAGGGTAATAAATAAGAGAGAGAGAGAGAGAGAGATTTGAAGATCCCCTTAACTCTTTTCATCTCCTAACTCGTTTTCTTTTTTTTTAAGAAAATTAAAGTTTATTGGGGTGACAATGGTTAGTAAAGTTACATAGGTTTCAAGTGTACAATTCTGTAATATGTCATCTGTATTTCACACTGTGCATTCACCACCCAGAGTCAGGTCTCCTTCCATCACCATATATTTGATCCTGTTTTACCTTCATCTACTAACTTGTTTTCTTATTTTTTATTTCATAAATGTACTTCATACACCTCCCCAACTCATGAGTTCCAGGGGTCCAGAGAATTGCCTTAGGAAGGTTTCAGCTGCTTTCATGCCTAGTTCAATGCCTTGCAGATATTCATGCACTTATCCGTTCATTTTTCAGTGCATACTTGTCAAATGCCAACTATATGTGCAGTGACTTTAGGCAAGTTACTTAAGTTCTCTGTATTGCAGTTTCCATATCTATCAAATGGGGATAGTAGACTCTAAGATGAGTGTTTGTTATGAGAATTCAATGAGACTTGAGTTTGTGAAAGTGTCTCACACAGTACCAGGCGTATAGTATGTACCCAATAAATTTCTATTCACTCGTTAATTAACAATGTTTTTAAACCCTGAAAATTAGGAATTGTCTGATTGGGAACCTTTTACTCTGATTTAGGTTGATTTCTGTAAATACAAGTGGTAAATGTTTGTATTCTTTAGAAATTAAACCAGCGAATGAAGTTATGGAATTCCTGATGTTAAATTTAAAATATCCTGATATCCCCTCATTAAAAGTTATAAAATAACTGTTCTTTGCAGATGTATTTGCACTTCCAAATTGAGGTTAAAATGTGAAAACAGTTTTCGCAATTATGTGCTGATTTATAGAAAAGGAAATCTGAAAATCACAGTGAGGTTGTGATGTCCATAAAGATGAACAGACTCCTGGGAATTTATGAACCTTGAAAAAGGCTGAGAGCCCCTATTTGCTTGATATAAAAATACTACCATTATTTTTATATTCCCCTTACCTCCCACCTCCACCCAAAGCACCATAAATCTAGTGTTATAACATCAGTCAGATTTTTAGCACTTTATGTAACAGATTGTGACATCATTCCCCATTTGGCAAAGGGCTTATTCCTGAGCAGCTTGAGGTAAGTGTTAGGGATGGGCCTTCTAGATGCCATCATCTATCTTGCGAGACACTGCTTCTGGGTTCCATGGGTCTTGGTGCCAGTGATCTTCATGCATCCATGAGAGAGCTGGCTCTAGAACCCCAGTTTCTCAATTCTAACATAATACCGTCAGTGGTTTGATTCATTCAGATAGTAGTTATTGAATGAATACCTACTCCTTGCAAAGAAAATCTGGATAGATTAGTAGGCCTTAAAATGGCCAAAATTGGGGCTGACCAAGTGGCTCAGTTGGTTAAGAGCTCACTCAAGAGTGCAAACTCTGAGCAACTAGCAGTTCGATTCCCTGCCCGAGCTGAGCTGCTGCTGAGCTGCCAACAGGTGGCAGGATGGCTCAGCTAAAAAAATAAATAAATAAGTAAGTAAATAAATAAATAAAATGGCCAAAACTTTCCTTAATCTTGATTTTATGTTTTTGGGTATCCATTCAGAGTCACAAAAGAGATATGTAAAGAAAATTAGAAACAATTGTCCAGAGGTGCATCATGACTTCAGTTATTATTATTATTATTATTATTATTATTATTATTATTATTGGATTGAGTTAGTTATTTCAAATATTCTAAACTGGCACATATGTTTAGACTACAAAGATGTGTTCCTTTAAGCCATATCCTGCTTCTAATTATTGAAACCAAATGGTTTTAGAAGAGGTGGACTTAAATGACCTACATTTAGTCCTTCCATTAAAGGCAAAGGACTAGGAAAGGAGGGATAAAAAAGATGATTAACTCTTTGCTTCCTAGAACCTTACAGTTTAGTGGAACAAAAGCATCGAAGTAACGAAAATGATAAAGCCAGGTCTATGAAGTCTGTGCTATAATATAAAGCAGAGAATGTGTGGAGAATATATAGCAAAGGAGTCAGAGGAGATGTAGGGTGAATATGCCTTTTGACTTGGGCCCTAGAAGATTAAAATGGGGTATCAGACTGAGATGCTAAAGAAGGTACGATGAAATGACAAAGCATGGTGATAAAAGCATGCTTTTGCTTCAAGCACTTGCTCTTCTCATGCCATCACCATGTGTTAAACATGCACTTATATATAGGCTGCTGGTTTGTGCCTGCTAAAAGAGTTTATGAATAGTTTTAGCACTGTAAAGGCTTGACTTATTTGTTATAAAATGATTACTGGCTTATTTCTAAGAACATGCAGAAGTTTAATTGGAGACTCCAGCAGACTCAGGAAGATAAAGAAAAAAGACTGGCAACACACATAGTACAACAGAGATCAATGAAAGACCAGCACATTGAAAGCTAACCAACAAACTTGACACCCAGAGACTGACCCAAGGAAACCCTCCTTCTGTTGAACAAAACAAAGCAGTGAATTAAATGTGCATGTGGTGGTGGGGGGGGTATGCTTTCCTATATTCAAAGTGAGGACATTATTTTGTTCCACAATGGATTTTTGTATTCGCCAAAAAAAAAAAAAATTAAAATGATCATTCTTAGAAAAGACTTTTAAATTTTTATCATAAGCTGATCACCACCCATGCCACATTTATCAAGCATGTGAAATTTAATACAGTTGATCCTTGATCAATTCAGGAGTTAGGGGTGTTAATCACCCTCACACTCAAAAATCTGCATATAACTTAAGTCAGCCCTCCATATGTGTGGATTCCCAACCACAGATCAAAAGTATGTATTGGCTTTATCCTACAGAATCTCTTGGATTCTAGCATTTGTTCCCCCTAAAAACAAATTGTTGCTATTGATCGAGCAATCCAGTTCTTTACATGGTCCTCCAATTGGTTTTCATGACAAGGAGTACAGATAAGTGAGGGCAACAAGGAGTTCAAGGAGAAATGAGGGCAAAATGAAGATTGTGAATAGATAAAAGTCCCCTCAGTTCTGGTAAAACAGGTGAAACTCGTTACATCGCTCAATACCAAAGAAAAAACTAGGCTCTCTTGCAGTTGCCTGGTTTATTAGCCAGAACATGGAGTACTTTTCCAGTAGAATTCGATAAATGGATATGTATGCACAGGAGCACACGCTTGGATATATGTCATTGACAACATCTTGGAAATGACAGGTCAGTGCCTATCAGCACGCCTAAGAAGCCAGATGCTTTGGACAGTGAGTGTCCCCTAGTGGGAAGGCTCCAACATGGCTGGTGGAAGCTGCTCTTCGCAGGCTCCTTCAGAGCTTCAGACTGGGCCCCGAAGTGCAAGAGGCATGAAAAAGCCTGGATTCAAACTCAGGCTCTGCCACTGGCTGGGTATATGGCTGTGGATAAGTTTTGTTTTTAACCTCTCAAAGGTAAAAATGAGGGTAATAATAGTATATGTAATTCATAGCATTTTGGAGATTTCATGCAATTATGTATGTGCAGAGCTTTTCATATTACCTGGTACTTAGGAATACAGATGGCCAGAATCGAAAAGACGCGTTCCTCCCACACCTAAGCCTTCATAGATTAGAAACAGAGCAGGGGGGTGCCGTCTCTAATATGCCATCGCTTTACACATCCCGACCCAGTGCTTTGAGGCCAGGGCTGCAGAAATAAGGGTGCTCCCCCTGCCCTGCACAGGGCCCCACATTGGATTAACGTGTCCAGAGAAAATCTTTGAGGACAATCGAGCTTTCTCAGCCTTCCCAACAGATTGTCAGTGCACAGCCCCTAAAACGTAACTGATGGAGAAGAGCCATGAAAACACAAGACGACTCAAATTCAAAAGGACAGCAAAAGAAGAATTATAACATTATGTACACCTGGGTGAACTAGGGAAATTACATGAAATTAATGGGCCTTTGAATTAAATTTGTAACATCCTTGCTGCCTATAATGTTCCACTGTGAAGACTGAAGCAGGAAAGGAAAGGGCAGCCCTTCTCCCTGGATTTGTTCCTCTTGGCCTTCCTCCCTCCCAGCAGGCTCGCAACAGAGCCCCCTTCCCATCCCCGTACCATAAGAAGCCTTAATTGCCGCTCAGCCCCTTGTCTGGCTCCCTGCTCTGCTGCACTGTTAATCAGTCTTCTTTGACTGGAAACTCAATATCCCCTGCAGAAAGTCTGCAATTGTGCTTTGAAGTTATTTGCATTGAGTTAGAAGAACCTTTTATTTCTAGTTCTATTGAGTGCCTCTGTAGTTTCAATGCCCTGATAAGCAGGGCAGCTGGATTCAACAGCAGTCACAATGGGCCACAGTTCTTAGTCACATTAGTGAATTGACGCATAAAGCTGACAGCATTGTAAATCTCTTCATGGTGGATAGGAAACAAGTAACCAATGCTAGTCAGTAAACTGTTAGACAATGTGCAGAGATGTGTTTAATTGAAGCAAGGTATACATGCCTATTCTGACTTGCCAAGGGCACTTGGGGGTTTAGCTACATTCCCATAGGGAAGGCATGTTATAATTTGGCTTGGATATATTCTGGAGATAAGGATGTAGCCATTCACCACGCTGATACTAGTATCACAGCTTACAGAAAAGCTTGATACAGCACGAGGGGGTTCAGTGTTCTTCCTTCAACTGTTGGGTACCTGCCATCCCCCCATTTTTGGTTGATGTGGCAAAGACTGTGGAGCAGAAGGGAGAAGGGTTTCAATTCCAGTTTTTTCACTTACTATTCACTTTGGATAAATGCCTACCTGGAAAGGGTGAAGAACAATGAAATGTAGTCCTATGTGTAAGGTGCCTAGCAGAGGGCTGAACTAAAGAGAGACTCACTACTGTTACTTCCTACCCACCCCTGCCTGCCTTCCCGCATGTCACAACCTCTTCTTGCTAATTGCACCTCTTTACGTTAGACAAAATATGTTCCCATTATCACAAGCAGCAGACTTGGCCCTCTGCATCAGCCCTGTCCACAGGCCCAGTAATGCACAGGCCAGCAGCAGTATTTATCTCAAGGTGACACTTGTAATGGATGATTGCTGCACTTCTTAATCCATTTATGTAATCCTTCCTGCTTTGCTTGCAGTTATTTAGCAGCAATAAAATGGTTCCTTTCCCAAGACAGAGTTCATTCAATTTAAATCTGGATTGATTATAGCTAAACTTATGACATGTCTTTACAAAGGAAGAAAAAGAAGCGATAAATTATGCGCAGTAATTATTTAGCATGCATTCAGCCCCCACAGTGTCCTGGGATCAGCATATAACCATTGGGGAAAAACCCCTGCCCTTAAGAATCAAAGCATAGCTGCACATATGAACAGACACTCAGGGCAGGGTACCAATCCAAATGCCATTTAATTCTTCATTCAAGGGGTCATCTGGCCATCTGGCCAGTCTTTCAGGGGACTTCATGGGGTTAAGTGGACTCTTCACCCACTCGTGCCTTCTTTTCGTTCAGCTTCCCTGACGTGCCGTCTCCTGACAGCATCCTTAGCCTTTGGTCTCTACCCCAAAAGACCGCTCTGTACTGCTCCTCAAGCAGCTTTGCTTTAAGGCTAAGACACTTACTGGAACTAGAGTCCAGAGTCAGCCTGATACCTGCCTAACATTGGTAGGATCTCTCCTGTGGTGACCTGTCTGGTGACAAGGGAAGCACACAGGAAATGGGGTGGAACCCATGCAAATGAGGGGCCTTCTTCTAATTGCATTCTTCTGGAAGGTAGTCATGTATGTGCTCATCAGTCAGAGGATTTGGATGCTGAGCGAATAGATAATTAGATGGCTTTTGTGACCACTAATTAAAGTGTAATTTATGTACTACAACGATACAAATTTAACTCCAGTAGATATTTATGACTAAAATTTGAAAATTTAGAGTGATGCTTTTCATTTATAGAAGTCCCAGGAACCATACCACCTGGGCATGCATTTCCATAGAATAATGGCCAAAAATGAAATAGAGGTGAAAGGCCTGAAATTTGTTTTTCTTTTAATTTTTTACCATTTGACTCTAAAATAGGCAGGAAAAAAATCAAAATTAATAAAGATGAATAATAATAACCAGCATTAATTCAGTACCATGCACACTAGATATAACCCTTCAAATATTGCCGTGAAATAGGTAAAGTTATACTATTTACATTTTATAGATGAGGAGGCAGAAGTTTGGGGCAATTAAGCTACTTTAACTAAAAGGAGGTATAGCCTTGATGTGAAGGCAGCTTCACTGCAGAGTCCATGCACTTAACCACTAGGTTTTCCTGCCATCTAAGACCCAATGCACAAATACACATCATATTCACAATCCCCAAAATGCCATTTCCTTTGATGTTTCGGTTGACCTTGGAGTTAAAATGAAGTTAAAACCTTTTTCTTTATCACATTTACTTGTAAAATTTCAGTGCCAGTTAAATATATTAGCATGTTGTCCCTAATGTGCCCCTGATATAATTCAAATTATATTTAAGTAATGGCATAGAGTCAGGATTTATTTAGACACAAGAAGCAATTTTTTTTTAAAATAAAAGCAATCATTTTAAATTGCTGAACATTCTTTCCTTGGAACTCTTTTTTTTTTTTTTTGCATTCAAAAAAGGTACAAGGAAACTTGTGCTAAAATACAGATTTAGCCAAGTTTTTGAGGGCTTTTTGTTTTTTCTTTGTTTTTGTTGATGATGATGATGATGATTTTTGTTCGTTTGTTTGAAGGGCAGATGGGATCAAAAGAGAAATTAGATTTTCCACCTTTGGTATTTGGGGTAGAAATTAGATTTTCCACCATTGGTGTTTGGGGTAGTAATGTGTCCCAAGGATACATTCAACCCCTGAGTTAAGATTGCCCTCAGAATCCTGCCACCCTGTTCCCCCAAACACATGCTGAGTGCTTTTGCTTACAGCTAGACGCTTGCTTACACAGTGTGTTTCTTACAGTTGACCTGGACAGGCTCAATGATGATGTGAAGCGTTACAGCTGCACTCCCAGGAATTACTCAGTCAACTTAAGAGAGGAGCTGAAGCTGACCAACGTGGTCTTCTTTCCACGTTGCCTCCTTGTGCAGCGCTGTGGAGGAAATTGTGGCTGTGGAACTGTCAACTGGAAGTCCTGCACATGCAATTCAGGGAAAACTGTGAAAAAGTATCATGAGGTAAGCCATTCTCAAATTTACTTGTTGCAGTGCAGCATGTAGCACTTTTCAGCTGCAAAAGTCATGTAATCCAAGGGGTGCTAGAAAACAGGGCCATTGCATGCAGTTGTTCAGGTTGTTCATTGTACGAGAGGCCCCAGCTAGAGGGATGACTGGGAGCTGAAATTATACTTGTGCTAAATTTGCCATGCTAAATGCCCATCCTAAAGAAGAGACTCCTTTTTCTAATCCTCATAATGTACCATGTGGGTTGACAACATCCTTGTTAGAATATAATATTCAAATGTATGATGCAATAATTTCAGAGATTACTTGGCCTCCTTGTAGAAATATGATGGTATTCATTTATAAGATATGAACGCAAAATCTAGGTTGCTTTAAGAAAATGTTAACAGCCAAAGTTTAATTCAATCAAGTCATGAAAAAATGAAGCAGTGTAAAGATAACAAATGAATTGTCAGAAAGTACATATTGTCAGAGATTTTTTTCATTCTGTAAATATAAAAGTATTTTTCTTCTAGAAATACTACTTTTCCTAAATACTACTAAGTGCTACCTGGGGAACCAGCTCTGAAATTATGCAAAAACAAAAGTAAATGTAAAGAAATAAAAGAACAAAAATTTCGGGAGAGAGCAGTAACCTTTAATAATAATAAAAAACACTCATGAGCACTTACTGTGTGCCAGACATTAATTATTATAAGTAGTAATTAGCTAACTTAGCAGTTTCTTAACAGTGCTGTAGGGATGGCGGGGGCAGGGGGTGCATGTGATATTTTTATTCTCTTTTTATAGATAACTAAACTGAGGCCTAAGAGGATCAGTAAGTTGCCCAGTGTGACATGGTCAGTAACTCCCAGAGCCAGGACCGAAATTCCGGTGGACTGGTTCCAGAGTCTATATTTTATTACTAGTAACGCTGCACTCTCTCTTAAAATATGTACAACTTTGTCAAGCATTTAAGAATAGGCTTAAGGGGAGTTAGAGCTGCTCCTAACAGTGACAGCATCTCTGTTACCTCCTGTTTGTGTGAGCATATGCAAATCATTAAAGTTTAGACTCAGTTTTTACATATGTGAAATAGGCCTAAGAATGTATGCCAGTTAATCCCTTACAGGGTGGTTCTGAGGATCAAATAACATAGTGTTTATGAAATGTGATTTTGAAGATGTGAAACATCATACCGAAATAGGTTTAAAAATACGAACTCAAATGTAAAGTAAACACAATTGTTAGGAATTGTTGTTTGAGTTGCTTTTCATCACTATCCACCAAAACAAAGAACTAGTGCTCCCTAAATAAAATCTCCAGCTTCATAAAAGTATTTTGTTAACCTGAAAACAATAAAACAATAATAATAATAAGATCGGAGGCACCTACTGAGCTAAGTGAAAATGTATGTGTCACAATTGGTATTTTCCTCTGGGGAATTACTGGAAGTTGCAGATCACAATGACGATGCTTACCTTCAACGGGGGAAACACATTATTTTAAATCTACATAGAACATTCTCTTAATATCAAGAATTCCTTACTCCACAGTTTTCAAAGTGAAAAAAAAAAAAAAAGAAAAGTCCTCATATTCAGAGAATACTATTGTCTGTTTTCATTGTGTTTTATTTTTGTATGACCTGATGAACTCTAGATTGGATATTTTCTTTGCTTCTAAGAACCTAAATGTTTTAATGTCTAGTCGTAACCTGAGGATGAATGCAGACTACAACAATCAGGTTAGAGTTAAAAATATCTAAGACATGACAAGAGCTCTACCGAGTTATAACTGTGGGAAAACATTCGAGTTCAGCCTTGGAAGTATTTGGGGTGTGCTGTATTTTCATCTTGACTCTCTGTTCAGATATAAGTTACAGTTTGATTTTCTTAAATTCCTTATTGCAGAAACAGCAGAGTTAAACATACATCCAAAAGGAATCTCGCCTTCTGGGCAGGGTATTTTCTTTCGTTCCTTTCGTTTTCTTTCATGTCTCGGTACACAATAGCTATTACCTGTAGATTTCACTTCACAATTAATATCTAAAAGAGAAAGCCTTGATCGTTTGGTTCTGTCACACGAACAGGTCTAAAATGTTGGCATCTTTTTGAAACTGCTGTCTAAAGCATCTCTTTGAAACATGTGTCATAATATTTTTACTTCTAAGAGTCTGCTGAGCTCTACACTCTGCCAAGTGCTAGACAAAGGGACAAAACTGTATCAATCACTCAGTCTGTAACTGCCTACCTGGAACAAACACTCCTGGAATATCTCCCCTTAACTCCTAAAATACCCTTGAAATATGTCACAGTGATCACTCTGCTGAGCGCCCTGTTGAAAAGTGCAGAAGGCTTGTTCCCTTTCTGGAAATTGGGGGTGCTTGAGCTAGGCTCATTAGGGGAAGATCCTGTCCTTTATTCTATTAGTTCTGTGTCTATATTCTTAACTCAGGAAAATGAAAAAGCCAACTTCCCCAGCTCCTAGTTATAACTGATGAGATGTGAAATGAGTTTCTATGAGAGATGAGCACCATTAAGTGGTGACTAGAACTTGTCACATAAGCAGGCCTCTGTGACTCTCCACAAGTTTTTCAATGCTCAGCATTTAAGGAAAAAATCCGAGAAATTATAAAGCCCCTCATGAAGCTAATATTACTGCTTTTTTCACAGTTAATGCAACTTCTGAAAGGGTGTGCCCATTCTTCACTGTGCCGGACAATGTAGCATCTTTATTATTTCTTATTCTCAAAAAAAGTTTGTAGGTATCCTGTTAAAGTATTTTTTTTTCTTTTTTCTAACAAACAGTCTATGTCATGGAATATACAAGATAGAAAAGATACCTTGGGTAGCGGTGTTTAAATAGGGAAGGTTCCAGAAAACATATTGCAGAGACATTTAGAGGAAGCTGTCTATCAGTTCTCATCTTCCCTTGATAATGCATCACAAAACAATGGAATATTTCCTAGAAATATTGTGACCCTTTTATTAATACGTACTGTTTTTTATCATTTGGTCTCCTGTCTATGTCCTAAGTTCTTAGTCAACAGCTAAAACCTTAGGGAGCAACAGAGAGAAAAAAATAGAAGTGAATTTTCTTTGTCCTTCCTCATGATTTTGTCACAAGGCTGATGTAATCATCTACATTGGTAGAACTTTCTGTAGCGATGGGAATGTTTGAGATCTGCACTCTCCAATATGGTAGTCACTAGCAACATGTTAGATTAAGGGACACTGGAAATGTGGGTAATACACATGAGAAACTGAATTTTTAATTTTATTTACCTTTAAGTAACTTAAAGGTAAATAACTACACGTGGCTAGTGGCAACCATATTGAATACACAAGCCTGTTTCTGACACATTTACAGCATCTAGAATCCTTGTATCTTCACAAAATTAAAAAGTGACTTTCGAGGGTTCTTTTTATTTTAATGTAGAGTTCCATATTTAAAAATGCTTCCTATTACAGTTTGAGTTAGAGCTATAAGTAGATATTTATACAAGAAACAAAGGATTCATTGGATGTAATAAAGTGTTGAGCTTCAGACTCAAGATAAAAGAATGGTATTTTTACTTTTTATATGCTTTAAGCATCTGCTATTGAAACAAATTTAGCTAAAATTGTAAATTGAGACCAAGGGTAAAGAAAAACTTTTTTTTTTTCAGAGTTTCTATGCTAAGGTAAAGGCTGTGAGATTTTGGTTATGATACAACTAATTATAACAAAAGTCTAGAAAAATCTCTCTTCTGTCCTGTTTCTAGAAATATTTCTAGGGCTTGGGAAGAGTCGCCTGCTTCTTTCTTTCTTCCCCTTTCTCCCTCTTTGAGTGAAAACATGAGACGGCTCTTTCTCAGGCTTTTCCTGTTTCCCTCTGAGAGACAGGGCGATAGAGCAAAACACTGTGTGACTAGAAGAGAGAAGATGTGGATTCTGGTTCCAGCTCTGCCACAATGGGAGGCAACCTAGTGCCAGCCACTAAAACCTCCAGGGCCTCGGGTTTCCTCATTTATAACCTATAATTTTCAGTTCCCACACAGACCTGAAATTACACGATACCCATTAACTGTTGCACTCTTTCCTACCCCCAGAATATCATCTTACTGAAATTGTGTAAGGAATATAAACAAGTTGGTGCATGAAGTACTAGGTCAATGCAAAAGAATAAAGATATGACCTAGAACAGTTAATGTGTGTAGAAAAGTTAATTCACTCATCAGTAACACCTGTGCTACTTACCTCATGGGGATGCTGGGTGAATAAAAGCATCTGAAGACTGTGAAGCACAAAACAGACATGAGTGGAATTTTCTGAGAGCATGGTCTGGCTTTCTCAGTTCTGACTTCCTGACAGCCCTGACAACTCACCTAAAAGTGAATGGACTCTCCGTTTAAGTACCACAAAATGCACACACCCTTTCCCTTCTAGATCTAGCTTCATGTCAGGCCTTCCTGCCAAAGTTTAGCAAACCTCTCTTGGTGTGTGATACTCCTCGGGTAGACAAGACCCATCTGTGTCATGAATGATACTCAGTGCTAATGCCATGCTCTGAAATATGGTGCCAAACTCAGCTTCCATTGTGTTTTCTGCAATGGGAAGGCTGAACATGTAGTAATTAATCCTCTAAGGTGCTGTCAAAATCATTCATTTAGTTCTGTAATGGTAGAAACTAAATATACTCCCTCGTAACCCCTAGGTCCTCACAGAAAACCTCTCTTAGAAGTGAATGTCCACAGATGTGAAGATTGTGTTTTTAAAATTTGTGAGAGCTTTATAGACCCTCACTATAACCCTAGCTTTGGTTACCTTCAAACCTGTCAGCAAAACATTGTTGAACTTTTTGTCACTTGTCTTTCATATTGAGTGCTATGTCTCAAGACTTGGCATCAGTCCTTCCATGACAAGGCCCAGCCAGTGCTGCAACTGTCGCCTGCAAGCTGAGCAATTACCCAGGGAAAATAATACGTCATCCCTATTTTTGCTTGTAGTCACTTAGATTTCAGAAAAAAATTGACTACCAGCTCTTAAAATCTTAACTCTATACCCATTTTTCATATGGTCTATAAGCATGAAAGAAGTCAAAATGGAAGCAAAAATATGAAGCACTTTTGTTTTTCTTATGATAAGGAACTATATGTGTACTGAACACTGCCTGCTTTAGAAGTTGGGTAGACTCTTAAATAAACTCTTAATGATTCCAGTTTATACAGTGTAGTTGTCCTGAAATATGTACTTGTGTTTCTGTGTCAGCCATGAATTTGAGAACTGTTACAAGGCCTTAACAACCTTTTATTTGTCTCAATAAATGAGAACCCAACACAGCAGATAGCTTTTCTGCCTGGTATTGTTTTATTAGTATAAAAGCATTGTGGCAGTGATTCATTCAGTGGTTTATTGGCACTGTAGTTAAATATCTTTTGTGATATGGTAATTTGCAAACTGAGCATCTTTGGCTTTGTGTAGTGTATGAAAGCTATCAACTGGCTCAGTCATTCTCCATTTAGTAAAAGACAACTTTCCCCTGGCTTCATGTGGTTTTCCAGGTGGTGAAGAGGAGTCGAGATTGCTATTTTCACCCATACATGATAAGAAATGGCTGGCTGTTCTTCCTTGAATTTGTATTTCTGTGTGTGTGCTTGCAGCTGTGAATCATAGCTCAGAAAATAGGAAATCATTTTATGATGGTTCCTATTAGCAAGTGTCCAACAGTGACCATAATTAATTCAATGGTTCCTTCCCTTTCAAGGTGACCAGATAACCCGTAACTAGCCAGTTTGCTTTCTCAGATAAAGGCTTTTCATTTTTCTTTTAACTTTCCACCATCTCTCAAATCAGCTTTGCTCTCTTCCTCCTTTCAGTGCTGTGTACCTGAACCTAAGACTATTATATGGTCTGAAAGCTTTGAACATCAGTGCTGTGATCAGCCAGTAAAGCAGTCCAATTTCTACTTTGTTCAAACAGTGCTTTCCTGTCTTGTCAGGGAAAGTGTCTGCCAATTCATTTTTCTCTTCTTATCAGCAAAACACATATATGCTGTGCTCACGTTGCTTAATATGAAACACAAGGAAGATCCCTGAACAATCAGGAGACGAGTTAGAAAAACTGTCCAGGCTCTGCTCTCATCCCAAAGCACACTCTTTTGTTTGCCACGAAGTGAGAAAGCAAATCGACAGAGCCCTGATTTTATAGGTGCTACTCATTGCAACTTATTAGGCTTTCATCATGGCCTTCTTCAAACAGAGGCTATTTATCATATGCCCATCTTCTTAGAAACCATTTCCCTCCCGTGCATCTGCGAGCTCCCACATCTGGTTTGCATGCAGGCAGTCCTGGGCAATAGCAGCTAATTCATACTGGAGAAATTCTTGGTGAAGCTGCAGGACTTTAACCTCTTACCCCTTCCAGGGCAGCCTGACCCAATGTGGCCCCATAGAAGTTTCATATCTGTCATGGGCAGTGCTTTGACTGCCCAAAAAGGTAATGCATTCTTCAACCACTGCTTTTTTCACTTTTTGCTTTTATTTTGGATAGTTACCCAACAGGAGAAAACATGGGAACCAGTGAAAGGCAAATGTCGTAACTGCACACAGTATTTTACTTTCAAAATTGTGAAAGGATTAAAACTGGTCCACAGCATGGGCCCCTTTGTTTCGGCCTCTGTTTTATCTCCTGGCTTGTTTTCTCCTATGTTTGTGGAGGTCGGACAGGAGAGATGCAGAGAGGAGGTCAAGGAAGCGATTGTGCATATGCGCCCCCCCTTTCCTCGGCATTGGCGGCATCACCGCCAGTCACCAGGCGCGTTCCCCTAGCAGCCCCTGTGTTCCCGCGTGCTGCTGAGCTGAACAAACAGGTTTGATTTCATAGGTAAGGGCAGGAGCTCGTCCACGTGCTCTGGTTCCACCAATTACTAGCTCTGTGGCTTTGGGCAAGTAACTCAGTCTCTCTCTTTCCTTGTCTATGAACAAAATTAGGGAAGTACTTAACAGTAAGGACCTAACAGTGCAGTGAAGCCCAAATAATGTAATATTTGCAAAGTTGTCTATAAAATGTATGGCAATAATGTCAGTGATTACCTTTGCTATTCTTGCCCTCAAAGCACTTATAATCCCATTAATAGAGAGACTGCATCATAAATCATGTGAAATCGTGTGATGTATATTATAAGTGTGGTACAATTGCAGGAGAAAAATACAACAATGTAATTAACTATCAAAACTGGCATTTGGACTAGTTTTACCAATATTAAATACTTTGAGTCTTTGTGCCTCCCTCATGAATTCCCTTAGGGTTTTCCTTTTCCCCCCAATTTTGTCCTCATGAATATTCTTTTGAAGGTCTGCTACCAGTGGGACTCCATGTTCCTCTGTGTCAGCAGAGTCTGGGCTCCCTGTCATTGCTGAACATTGACCAAAGCCCATGATTTATTCTCCTCCTCGCTGGAACCCCCATGGAACAGCATGGCTAAGTGCTAACAGAGAGAGTACACTGACTATGATGCATGAGTACTGAGGACTGTAGACCAATTTTTCCTGGTCGATGGTTTTGGTTTATTTATGACTCGAAACAGACAACATAAGGATGAGAAAACTGCTAGGCATATAGTCCATAGTAAAGAATTGTGGGGATGCCATGGAAAATTATGTAGATATGAAAGCAAGATTTCATTCACCATATCGAACCTTCATCTAGAACCAAAGTATATCAAGCAGTGCATAGTAGGTCCCTACTCCAGTTCATACATGGGGCCACACTCACCTTTGAGACACAAAAGGAAATCATAGGCACATTGTAGAGGCTTTGGGTCAGTGTTCTAGGAGTGCTGCTCCCAGATCCAAGTTACCAGAAGACCCTGGACAAGGCTCTTAGCCTCCTTTAGTGTCTTAGTTCTCTCATATGTAAAATGGGAACACGGATATCTCCTCTACTATACACAAGGTTTGTCTGAGGACAAAAGAAATAGTGTGTCTGTGAAAATCCTGTGAAAACTGTAAAGTGCTATATAATTGTATGGTGGTACTACGACAGAGTTTAGAGTCTCAGAGGAAAATAGAACAAAATCAAAACTGAAGCCTAACTGGAACCGATGAACATAAAGGAGCGAAGCAATTAAACTGACCAAATGGCATATGTAATGAATAGTATAGTATATGTGATAGTATATGTAATTACATACTTGAAAACAAGTATGTAATTTTCCAAGTATTTGTACATGTGATGACTAATGTTTAACTTCAAGCGAAGGCCACAGCATGGGAAAGCAGCTTCTATTCAAATGCACTAATTAAAAAAATATGCTTAAACTTAGTAATTAAAAAAATTAAGGATATACTTTGTTAATTTTAAACTGTTGTATTTTAATTGTAATAAACTGTTAATTTTAAACACAGGCATTAATGTACAGATGTTTTAGTGGAGCCTGCTATGTTTTGAATTGTAAAAGGTATTATATATTAACAAATAGGTAAGAACATAAACACATTTTCATTTATTTATGGCTGCTAATGACTTTCAATAGGGCAAAATATTTTATGCATCAACCAAAAAGGTAGCCACGCGGGGATATTGTGTTCTTGACTATTCATTGTGCTGTCCGTGGAAATAATAACATGCTCAGTGTTGCTTTTTTACCCACAATTTATGCTTTGGGCAGAAGAATCTTTATGACAGTATATGGGACAGATCCTGGGACAAAGCAGGCCTTTAGAAAGCTATCAATAAACACCTGCTAGGACACCTGAGGTCATCTTGGTGCTGCAGATAGGTAATGCAGGAGACATTCCTCTGTGATCAGTTAGTCCCTCATCAACTCAAAGAGTTGATGATTGTTTGTAAAAACATTTAGATGTGTGCATTCTAATAAATAGTGAGCCCATAACTGTCACTGGATTTTCAAAGGGTTAAGAACCAGCTGTCACAAAGAGAATAAGTGATATCTATTGAGTTATATCCAGGGACTTTCTAACAGGAAATATGCTTCTTATCCTAGGTATTAAAGTTTGAACCTGGCTATTTCAGAAGAAGGGGCAGAGCGAAGCACATGGCACTCGTTGACATTCAGCTGGACCACCATGAGCGGTGTGACTGTATCTGCAGCTCCAGACCACCTCGATAAACGAATGTGCACACAGTTACATTAAGCATGGAAGAGCCTTTAGTTTAAGGAGGGTGTGGTTAAGAGACCCTTTTCCCACCAGCAAACGAACTTACTACTAGCCTGCAAAGCAATGAATACAAGTGGTCGCTGAGTTTCAGCCCAGCTTTGTTAGTATCCTGGCAAATAGAAAAGTGTATCATCAACCTCTATATCCAAGAACATAGAATTGCATTTAATAACAGTGTCTGAGGAGATATCCATGTCTACGTGTAAATAGACCAACTGGTTGATTCAGCGTATATAACCAGCTACACCAGAGCTTACATAAGGTTGAGTTATTTAGAGCTTTAAAATCTTTTGAAAAAAATAAGGGACATATTAAATACATGAAACATGTCCTTGGAATATTCAGAAGATTAATTTATTTGCAAATTTTGCATCACAAAACAGTTTTGGATCTTGCTCTTCTGAAAAAAAAAAAAAACCACCTTGTATATTAGGTGAGCTTTTATAGTTGTATATATTGAGCTTTTCTAATATACACATCTTAATTATAAAAAAGGAAAAATATGGTTTCTGGGAAAAAGGCACAAACCAAACCATGTTTTTTCCCCATGAGATACACTACATATTTACCCATGTAGCTAATAATCACCTGTCTCCAAAAGCATGCCATAATAATATAGGTGCTTTAGAAATTAAGTCATTAAGTCTTCGTTTTATGCATCTTGCTGAGGGATGCGAATTCATTTAACACCAGTCTCAAAAAATTTCTTAGAAGGTTTATCATTATAATCCTACACAAGACAGTTTATAAACTGTAGCAGAATCTTGAATTCTTCCCCTCCACAGAAGTAACTCCTTTGGAGAATGGCATTGGGCACTCACTCTATATGAGCCTTTCAAAATAGTGTTCATTGAAAGATTTGTGCAGTTGAAAGGCAGAAAAGCAAGCATTGACGTACTAACACAACTGGAAATTGGATGGTATATTGGATAGGATCCATATTTAATATTAGATTCAAACGCTCCACACTGTGCTAATTAATCTTATGTATTTCGCTTTTATGTTCCTATCTTTTCGATACACAGACATGGATTTATAATGGCATTTTATATTTGGCAAGCCATCATGGATTATTTATAGCCTAAAACCTTTTGTGTGTTAAAACAACCCAGTCTTATTGATATAAATCTCTAATCATATTCTCACTCACCATTTCGAATTGCTGTTTCTGAACTAAGTGAAATCAGATCAGGGGTCTTTCCCAAATCTGTGGAGCTTGTTCTAAGAGCCATGCTGCAAATTGTGAGAGCACAAGTTTGGCCCTGCTCTACCAATGGAAAACTGTTTTTGCATTGGTGGTTATTATTGGTATTTAGGGTAATTTTTCCTCTCTGGCTCCTGAATGTCTATTTTAAAAGAGACTGACTCCAGGAGTAGGAAGTGATTCATCATTCTCCAAAGCAAGACTCTTAAGAGAGCAACAAAGAAATTAAGATAGCTCAGGGCTGCTCAGAGAGAACTACATTTTTCTTCCTGCCTTAAAAGAAAAAAGGAGAGCCGATTTCTACCACGAATCCAGGGCCCTACTGACTAAAACCAATTTGAGTGAAGGGGAATGTGACAGGAGCTCGTTAAGTCTCCATGTCAGATGGGTGGCCTGACTATACTTGGACTTCTAAGCATGGTACTCTCAGGACCAAATTCCCAACTATCCTTAGCTCATTTCTTCTCAGTTCTGAGATGAAAGGCCAACGCTTATTAAAGATATGCCTTCCAAATTTCCCTAAAAGTGTCCAGTGTTTTTACCTCCAGGGGTAAGTGGTAAAATTAAATACTCTATTGCTCAATTGTCCAAAATCCCAGAGCACAGTCAGAAATAACTGAGGCAGACACTCTAATAATCAGGAACCACTCTTCCTCTTCATAACAATTTGCAAGTCTCCTATGAAAATACAGGACTCCTGTACCCAAATAAAAATGTGTTATATCACCCTAGCTTATTCGGCTTACATTATATCTGTAAGTATTATAAATTAGTGTTCTACCTAATTTTCAATACATTTTCCAGATTGCAATATCCAAGATGGTTTTCAGTTAAAGTCCTATCTGTACTTTTTATTTATTAGCTGAAATGTAAGTAGTTAAAATGTAAAACACTTTCCTGAGTGTTTTATTGAAACTTTTCCTTTGGTTATCTGTTATCTATTGCACTTCCAACATGTAGCCCATAAATCTGTTTCATTGCCATCAAAGGAATAAAAAAACTCACCGTACAAATTACATTTCAAAACAAACCCTAATAAATCTGCATTTCTGCATGGTTCACTCACCTGAAATAATGCCTTTCATTCAATATGTTCTTGTAGTGTAGAACACTTTCATAAATAGAATTTTTGTGGGGTTTTTTTTTGTCATATCAGTAACATGCACCTTTTTCCTCTCAGCATTTTTGATAGCAAATGTAATATTCTTCTTATCTTCATGAAAAATAAATGTTGCTTTTGAACAAAACTACTTCATTATTTAGTACTCAACTATAGCTTTAAAAGGTATACAATGTTACAAACTTGCTTTTACAAAGTCATGTTAACTGTTCTGAGTGACAAGATGGGGTGATTTCTGAGGGCTTGGTTTAGAATGTTGAAAGAGCACAAACCTTGTTCCCTGATTTTACTCTGTCCCTGTCCTGGAGCCCAGCAACGAGGTGGGATGCATTTTGTTGTTCTCTTGCTGCTGTTGTTGCTTGTTTGTCTGACTGTTTGTTTTTCCCTAAGGCCTTTTAATGAAATACAGAGGGTGCCAAAAAATGTATACACATTTTAAGAAAGGAAAACTGTATTAAAATTGTAGTACTCACTACATACCAATAACAAAAGATGAACAGAAGTCACATTTGACTTCTGCGTTACAAGAGGTGCTCAAAGTGGTTACCATCAGCATCCAGGCACTTTTGATTACGGCGAACTACTGCTTGAGCAATGTTGATCAAAGTGCCCACTTGTATACATTTTTTGGCACCCCCAGGATATTCTCCTCTGACATTGCTCACTTAAGAGGGTTCACAGCCATTTTCTTCCTTGGAGACCTGAAATCAATAACATCGCAGATGCATTTCCCTTTTATCTGCCTCACACCTTCTCCTGTCTAGGTGGACACCGCAGCCGGTGGGTCAGTGTTATTATTAGTTCTTATAGACTTTGGTTTATAATTTGGGTTGGGAGGTGGGCAAGGTCAAAAGAGAGATCTTCTTTGAGCAACAACTTCTGCTTTTGCTTGTAGCTTAGTCTATAGCATCATGCTACCAAAGATAGGACAGCAGCTGCAGTGCTGGGTGAAACCGCCACTTTATTTAGTTTATGTATTATGTGGCAAGAATCAATTTTACCATTGGAAATACCAGTTAATGTGTGAGTCAAAGTGTGGGAGAGGGACAGGGAAAGGAGCAAATAATGCTGTGCATAATAGTTAAGTCGGATAACTTGGGTTTTTATGTAAAAAATCATAGTAGCAATATATAAAAGCAACATTTTAATGCAAATACATTAAGAATTTTATTTCATATCCCGAAATGTGTGTGTGTCCAATTTTACCCTAAGAATAACTCAACAGATGTTCAAATTGTTCATTTTCTCCTAGGGTCTTCTGGTAGAACATTAAATTAAAATTCATAATTAGTATTCATGCCTGAAATCCTATTTTGTTTATTGACAGCTCTGGACAAATATGCTGAAAGAGAGGATATTTATAACTCACTGGTCTTATTGACATTCACTTAAATTCTGTTGTTTTTAAAGATCAAGTTAAAGACTGCACAGGCCTTCAAAAGTTAATACACTGGGATACCTCCCAAACATAATAGTTAGACATCAACAATGGTTAAGCAACTAACAGCTTAATTTAAGGTTTTTTTGTTTGCTCTTCATGTAATAGTTCCAAATTTGCAAGTTAATTTGTATCTTTTTAAGAATAAATTTCATTTCTATAGAGATCTCTAAACACTTTTTAGCAGATAACATTAGAAGAGAGCAGAATTGAGTTGATAATAAAGGTTAATGTACTCAGCGAGCAAGTTATGGGCCAAGAAATCTTCATTTTCTAATAAAACCATTTGACTTTCTAATCATTTTAAACTGTTGGATATTGTTTGCCAGGTTAAGTGGCCAGGAACTGAATGTAAAAATCACTCTTGCAATTCAACTTGTGTTTTAAATAATGCCTATAATATAAATTCTACTCTAAGAAGTAAAATCTGGGCTATATTCTCTAACCTATATCTTCGGTTGAGGCCATAATTACAAATTCATTCTCTTCTAGTATCCTCTAGCCTTTCCTCTTCTCCCTGGTACTTCCACATTTCTTCTGTTTCTCACTAGTCTCTGTGCATCAACCTTCAAGTCAGAGAGGAACAGGATCCATGTCTACATTGGAAAGACACAGGAGATCATTTGAGGGGATCAGATCAAATGCACGGTTTCTCAAGTGAGCAATTAAAAGGCTAAAATTGCTATCTGTTAAGAAATCACTGCTTTTTGAGAGTTGAACACAAGTGAATATTTCCCAATATTTTCTATTTGGGTATAAACTTTAGAGTATGGTGGTGAGTATTTATTGACTTCTATCAAAGAAAATTTAGCAATATTCAATATGGGGGAAACTGATTAGCTTAAAGTTTTCATTTATTCATTCAACAACAAAATATATTAAGATACACTATGTATCGGGCATGCTTTGGGGTTCAAAACACAGGTCTGCAACAGAGGACAAAACTAGAAAAAGATGTTCTAGGTGGCATAAATGAGAACAAAGATCTTCCAGCAAAATTACATACGATGAGGAGTTCAAAGAACAGAGTAAAGTGACAGAAAGGAAAGGAATCTATAGAGGAGCAATTGGTGATATACTGGAGGTGTCCAAAAAATGTACACAAGTGGACACTTTTGTCAACGTTGTTCAAGTAGTAGTTCGCCATAATCAGAGGTGTCTGGATGCTGATGGCAACCACTTTGAGCACCTCTTGTAATTGCAGAAGTCAACGTGACTTGTATTCATCTTTTGTTATTGGTGTACGAGTATATTGAGTATTACAATTTTAATACAGTTTTTCTTTCTTAAAATGTGTATACATTGTTTTGGCACCCTCTATATTTGGAAAGGTTAGATAAGCACCTGATCACACTAAGTCTCATGTGGATGGCTAGCAAAGCGTTTTGTCTTTTACACATGGGAGAGGAAGCCATGGGGGTTTCTAAGCAGAGTGGGGGCTGCAAGTGTCATTCATCTGAAAGAAAGTTAGAAGGCCTTGGGTATAATGAAAAGTTTGTCACTTCCTGGGTCTATGTTTCCTCACTTACAAAATCATAAGGGTATGATGTTCTGTAGGTCCCGTTCAACAGAACAATTCTGGGATTTTGGAAAATGGCCATCTATGGGAAGGATGGGGGTAGGGATATGAATTAGGAAGCTCCTTAAAGTTCTAGGGGTAAGACAATAAGGATGGAAGTGAGACCTCAGACAGGGAGGAGGCAGGTCTCCTGTGGTTGGGCAGACTGCATTGCAAATCTTTAGGAGGTGCTATTTGTATGGACTAAGACTGCAAGAAAGGTTAACAAGAAGATTCAAAGGTCTTAATGCCTGGATAGGAGGTCAGTGCAGGCTTGGGGTTGTTCTGGGGGAAGGAGTCATGTGAGTTGGAATTTTGAGAGAACATTTTCTCCTCAGAAAACTAAGGAGGCTAGAAGGAGAGGCTAACTTTGAGAGAAGAGCTCTTGTCTCTCAGAAGAGCCAAGGCTTGTAACGTTGACTGGGAGTCATCCTAAGAGTGGGGAAGTGGAAACCATGAGAAGATAAAGAACAGAACCTGAAGTGCTTCCATAACCACAGAGAAAAGGGATAAAAGAGGAATTCACAAAGCTCACAAATATGTGTTCCAAAAGTTTGGTAAGTACTTAGCAAGGGCTATTTAGCCCACTTAGCCCAGCATTGTGCCAGACATGACAGATTTAGGGAACAACAAAACAGCCATGTTTTCTGCTCTTATCAAACTAGAGAAGGAAGGGTACATACTATACAAATAACTAAATAAATAATCCATTATATTTGTGAAAATCAAAAGCATAATGTAGGATGACATTAAAAGGTAGAATTTAGATTGGGGACAGAGAGGGGGATGCCTTAAGAAGATGACATTGGAGTAGAAACACAATGTTGAATATTAGCCAGGAGGAAAGTGGAAAGAGAGTGTGGCATTAAGATAGTGGCATTAGAAATTTAAAAAAAAAATGTGACTAGATTAGAGAAATATTTTGAATGTCTAATTAACCAGAGTTGGTGATGGATTGGGTGTTGAGAGGGAGATGTCAAGGACTTTTCCAAGACTTCTGGCATAACAAACTGGGTAGACAGAGATGCCATTTGTTGAGATGGGGGATGTGAGAAGAGCAGAAGGTTTGGGGTAGATCAAGAAATCAATATGAGGGATTAATGCCAAAAGTCTGACACATTCTGTTGGAGATATTAAATAGACAGATCTATGGGCCTGGAGCTGAGAACGGGGTCTGGAAATGGAATATAATTTTGGGAGTCATCAACATGTCTCTATTAAAAGCCACAGGAATTGTTGAGTCACTTAGGAGAGGGTGAAGATTGAGAGGTAAAAAAAAAGGATCACAGGGCAATTGCAAGAGTATAAAAATATCCTGAGTGCCAGAAGAAAAATTGTTCCAAGAGGACTGGGCCAGTTTTATCAAGTATTGCAGAGAAGATGTAGGAGACACCTACGGATTTAACTGCCCAGAAATGTTCCTCCCTACCCCACCTCCACTGCTTTTCTGGGAAAAGCCACTTTATCTACAGTGGCGCTGTGCAATGGAAATTTGTGATGATGGAAGTGTTTTATTTATGCACTGTCCCAATACTCTAACCAATAAGAACATGTGGCTATTGATCACTCGAAATGCAACTGGTATGGCTAAAGACTTTTACATTTTACTTAATTTTAATTAATTTATGTTTAAATGTAAATAACCATATTGTGACTAGTGGCTACTATAGCAGACAATGCAGCTATAAACTCTAGACATCACCCACAGGGTTACAGACACAGTAACCGCTTCACAGTAAAACATACACACACACACACACACACACACACACAGACACGCCTCAGTTGACTGTCCAGGGCAGGGGCACCTGATCCAACCTGGGACCTAAGTCTACCATAGGATATACAGAACTGAAAAGAGATTCAGGCAGTCTCTCTGGTTATTTGGATGGTAGGATACAAAAATCAGTGGCTATTTGCAGCCATGCTTCTTCCCCATAGACCAAGAAGTCCAGAGAAAGTCAAACCGCAAAGGAAGAGAGGGAAGAATGACACCAATATATGGAAAGTAGCTGAGAAGCCTGATGTCTGACCAAATTCCTTTCTTGGGTTCTGAGAATGTCAAATGGTGGAAGCGTGAGTCAGATAAAATATCATGGAGGGAAGTATGATGAAATGGAGGTTTGGAGTG